CAAAAAACCCCACAACAACCCAATATTGTACTATGTTAATAACAAAATATATTGTATGTATATATATATATCTTGTAAGCCACTCTGAGTCCCCTTCAGGGTGAGAAAGGTGACAAATAAATGTCATAAATAAATGAAATAAATAAATAACAATAAAACACACCCCATCAAATTATAAAATAGTTAAAACACATGAACAATAAAAACACATAAACAATAAAACAGATGAAAAACTATATAAAGTGCGGAGTCTGGGTCTCATACTTATCCATAGTCATTTTCCAAAATCTACAGTCATTATTTAGGCTATCCTATTTGCCAAACACCTGTGTACAAAGCCAGGTCTTAAGTTTTTTTTCCAACGACCAGGAGGAATGAAGTCTGCCTGGTGTCACTAGGGAGGGAGTTCCACAGCTGAGGGGCTACCATTGAGAAGGCCCTGTCTCTCGTCTCCACCAACTGTGCATGCGAAGAGGGTGGAACCGAGAGCAAAGCCTCCCCAGCAGATCTTAAAGTTCTTGTTGGCTCATAAAGGGAGATGTGTTCAGTAAGTTGGACCAGAACTGTTTGGGACTTTATAGGCCAAAGCCAGCACTTTGAATTGAGCTCGGTAGCAAATTGGCAGCCCATGGAGCTAAAGCAACAGGGAGGCCCTCTATCTTTCAGACAAGTAGGAGCAACGGCAATGAGCACCATGCACAATTTTCTCCCTCTGAGACACTCTGGGTGCCACACAGATTGCCCAGAATGCTGAAAAACCAAAAACTGGCAAGAAGTTCACACCAGACTGGGGGGGGGAAATTGTGCTAGGTTCTGTAACCTAGTTAAAAAGGGAATTTCAGGAGGTGGAATTCATCCTTTGGAGGGTCCAGTCGAGGGGCAATTCAAAGAATCTGGAGGAGTCTGATCCACAAAATAAGCCTTTAGAGAGCACATACTTTGCCAAGCCCTGATTTGAAGAGGTACATTCACACCAAGGCCATGTAGTCCAAGTATGATTCAGAGCAGGAAGAGACATAAATACATACACAGCATTGTTGGAATAGGACTTTGGACTGTCCCATGATTGCATGGCTGAGACACATGGAAGACAGGAAGAGCTTCCTGTGTTTGCAGCATCTCTTACTGAACTGGTTTCAGAGAGTATACAATTCTACCTCCATTGCTTCCTGCAGGTTTTCCGTTCCTTTGATCTCCCAGATGTTGTTGGACTACAAGGATGCCATCATCCCTAGGATGCTGGATTGGGATGGTGGGAGCTGTAGTCCCAAAACACCTAGAGAGCCAAGTTTGGAACAGGGTGCTTAAAAAAAATTACTACTGAATATACATATAGAGCAAAAGCTTAGAGTTTCCAGAAAATATAGTTGTATCTCATGAGTATAAATAAAGTACTGTATTAGTCCATGGCACATTAGAAGGAAAATATCAGATACCATCCATTAGGGAGAAGCAATGATTGAGGAGAGCCCAGTGTGGAGCTGGACTATGTCTCCGGAAACCAGGGTTCAAATCCAGATAGGACTAATATTTTGGTCTACAGTTCTCACAAAACAATTGACACCACTGGCTATGTTAATGAGAACTGCACTTTAAGACCATCCTGGAGTCTTCCAGGTGTTTTGGACTCCAACTCCCAGAAGCCTCAATTGCTTTGGACAATGATCAGAGATTCTGGGAGAATTCCAAAAATACTGGGAAAATCCGTTTGGGAAACACTGTTCCAGAGAATCATAGCTGGCCATTCCATCATAAGAAGAGTAGTAAGAAAGTTGACAAAATAAAAGACGGAATTGCCGACTTGAACACGAAGCAGACATGTTGGATTACAACTCCCATCAGCCTTGAGGTGATGGAAGCTGTACTGCCACATATTTGAAGGGCACCAGTACGACTCCTCTGTTACCATCACATCTTCTGAGGTAAGCCCAAAAGCAAACGAAAAACGTAACAGGTGTCAAATCCTCTTTTCAGAAGCAGGATTTCTTGTTTACATTGAAGCGGCTTTGGGCATCATGAGACAATAGGCAGAAGGTGACACATCCCTCCTCATTTGCATGTTCCAGATTAGATACCTTCCTGGAGGAGGAAGGTAAATAAATGCCAAGTCTGATACCATCTCTAGACTCAGAAACCAGGGCCCCAAATATGACCAAGGCTGATAAACCACAATTGCTCCATGTGAAAGAGGGGAAAACACTCTGTATGTAATCAGAGACACTGTTTTGTAGCTGCAGGTTGAGCATCCCTTATTCAAAGATTTTGGAGACAATTTGGATTCTACCCCACCCCCAATTTCTGGAATATTTTGAGATACCTTGGAGATGTGGCTCAAGCCTGAACAACTTTACATATGAAATGAATCACCTGGGAAAGCATCATAGACCCATAGAGTTTGGTTTTTTCCATGTCAGGAGCAACTTGAGAAACTGCAAGTCGCTTCTGGTATGACAAAATTGGCCAACTGCACGGACATTTTCCAGAGGATGCCCGGATGTTTTACCATCCTGTGGGAGGCTTCTCTCATGACTCCACATGAGAAGCTGGAGCTGACAGATGGGAGCTCACCCGCTCCCAGATTTGAACTGCCGACCTTTCGGTCAGCAGTCCTGCCAGCACAAGGGTTTAACCCATTGCGCCACCGGGAGCTCCACCCATAAAGTAGGAAGAAACCACAAAGGCCATCCAATCCAATCCCATTCTGCCAGGCAGGAAAATACAACCAAAACAAACCATGTTATAGCAGTTCGCTTTCTGGATAAGGGATCCCCCACTCACCTACCCACTCAAACCAAAAATATTGTTCATCACCACTATAGAACTAATGTACTTTGACATCAAAGTTAAAGTAGTATCAAACTAATTCTATTGTGCACAATGTTTGTATACACTAGTGATTCTCAACCTGTGGGTCCCCAGCTGTTTTGGTCTACAACTCCCAGAAATCCCAGCCAGTTTGTTAGGATTTCTGGGAGTTGAAGGCCAAAACATCTGGGCACCCACAGGTTGAGAACCACTGACCATCAGCAGTACAAAGGTGAGGCACTCTCTTTGACATGACATGACAAGGCTCAGTGGTATCCATGGAAGCCTGGAATTTGTAGTTTGGCGAGGCACCAGCAGCATTTGGTAGAGAGGTTTAAAGGTGATAGTACAGACATAGGCAAATGTTGGCCCTCCAGGTGGTTTGGACTTCTACTCCCACAATTCCTAATAGTCTACTGGCTGATAGTTGTGGGATTAAAAGTCCAAAATACATGGAAGGCCGAAGTTTACCCCTGCCTACGACAGTAGAACTACAACACCCAGGATTCTATAGCACTGAGCCATGGCTGCAAGTCAGCGTTTCTCAACCTGGGGATCGAGACCCCTGGGGGTTCACGAGGGGGTGTCAGAGGGGCTGCCAAAGACCATCAGAAAACACAATATTTTCTTTTGGTCATGGGAGTTCTGTGTGGGAAGTTTGGCTCAATTCTATCGTTGATGGAGTTCAGAATGCTCTTTGGTTGTAAGTGAACTATAAATCCCAGCAACTACAACTCCCAAATGTCACGGTCTTTTTTCCCCAGATTCCACCAGTGTTCACATTGGGGCATATTGAGTATTTGTGCCAAGTTTGGTCCCAATCCATCATTGTTTGAGTCCACAGTGATGTAGGTGAACGACAACTCCAAAACTCAAGGCCAATGCTCAAGGCCGTTTCAGTCTTTTCTGTTGGTCATGGGAATTGTGTGCCAAATTTGGCTCCAATTCCATTCCTGGTGGAGTTCAGAATGCTCTTTGATTGTAGGTTAACTATAAATCCCAGCAAGTACAACTCCCCAATGACAAAATCAATTTTTGAGTGATGGTCACTCCTCGGGTTAGTAGGTGTCTTGTGGCCAAATTTGGTGGCAAATTGTCTAGTGGTTTTTGAGTTATGTTAATCCAATTAAACATTAAACATAACTCAAACATAAACATTACATTTTTTATTTATATAGATTATTATTATTGAATAGCCTTGCAGCTTCAAGGCCTGGCTGCTCCATGAAAATGAACAAAATCTGGCTTCCAGTATTTTAAAAGAACTCTAAAATCAGGACAGTAAAGAAAGAACAACACTCAAAAACAGGAGAATTCAAACAAGAAACAATCAGGACCAGCTCCACCCAACAAGCAGTGGTTCTCAATCTGGGGTCCCCAGATGTTTTTGGCCTACAACTCCCAGAAATCCTAGGATTTGTTTGGATTTCTGGGAGTTGGAGGCCAAAAACATTTGGGGACCCCAGGTTGAGAACCACTGCAGGATTTCCCAGACAGGAAGCAGTCAGACCTTGGAACTGCAAGGCCATTAAATGCTAATCAATGTGGCCAATTGCAACACTCACACCTGCCTCAAACAGAGAAGAGTTCTTTCTCCCACCCTGGACATTCCATTGATATATATCTAATTTTATATAGGGACATTAATTACCTCTCAACAAAAGTTTGCCCCAGGCACAGTCAGTCCATTGTATGCTAATCAAGGTGGTCAGTTGAAACATTCACACCTAGCTCCAGCAGACAAGAGTCCTTTGTCTCACCCTGGTCATTCCACAGATATATAAACCCATTTTCCTAGTTCCAACAGACCTCTGAGGATGCTTGCCATAGATGCAGGCGAAACGTCAGGAGAGAATGACTCTATAGACCATGGCCATATAGCCCGAAAAAACCTACAACAACCCAGATATATAAACCCCACTTTCCTAGTTTCCAACAGACCTCACAACCTCTGAGGGTGTCTGCCATAGATGCAGGTGAAACGTCAGGAGAGAATGCTTCTGGAACACGGCCATACAGCCCGAAAAACCTAAAACCCGGCCATGAAAGCCTCCGACAATACGGTGCCAAACTGTATCAGTCTCAGAGTGTAGGTGCAGCTGAGCCATAGACTGAGAACCTCCCAAGGAAGGGTTAAGGGAGGGAAGGAAGGCAGGAGAAGGGGCTGAGAGGCGCCAGGAGAGGGCCCGCCTTACCTGTCCGGGGGTCGAAGGTGACCACGAACACGGCCACGATCTGGTCCTGCTCCACCTGCTCGGCGGCGGAGGAAGCGGCCTCTGCCGGGACCGAGCCGGGCGCCCCTTTCCACGCGGCTGCCCCCTTGGAAGGCCCTCCCCAGCCGGACTCCCGGGGCGCCTCCTCGGGCAGAGACACGCCGGGGCCCTCGGCCCAGAACAGCAGCGGCGCCTCGTCGGCTTGCTCGCCCATGGCCGGCTGCGGCGCTCGGCGAGGAGGAGGAGGAAGAAGAGGGCGGTGCTTGGCCGGGGCGAAGGACGACGGCGCTCCACATCCCTCCCTCTCCTTCCCTCTCTCCCTCCCTCCCTTCTTCCCAGGGAAGAGAGAGGCCTCGCTCGGTTTCTCCTAGCCTTCCCGCTTGGAGAAAGACCACCTGGAAGGAGGGAAGCTTGGCTCAGCAACCAAGGGTGCATCACACCTTCCCCTGTCTGTTTCTAAAGGCAGAGAATGATTCTTATGCACACACACACTGTTCCAGAACATCTCAATAGGTTTCAGAAGGGAGAGGAGAAACCAATGCCACTCAGCCAACTCTCAAATCATTAAACCACATGGGCTTCTCACTAGAGAAAAAATCCACAAAATCTGGTTTCTGACTCCTGCAGAATTCTGGGATTTGTAGTTTACTGAGGATGTGAAAGGCCCCTCTCTAAACTACAAACCACAAAATTCTGCAGCAGACAGAAACCGGATTTTAAGTGGATTTTTTTCTCCAGTGTGATGAGGCCCTTAGAATCATAAGAGTTGGAAGAAGCCTCATGGGCCACACAGTCCAACCCCCCTGCCAAGAAGCAGGAAAATCGCATTCAAAGCTCTCTTATTTATTTATCGTGTCATCCGCAACCAGAACATTGTATTACATTTCTAACAACAAAACAAACAAACAGATTTTTTAAAAAACACAAATTTTGCAAATTTGGTAGTTGATTAAATGTCCTTTGACCAGCATCTGGCCACTTGGAGTGCCTCTGGTGTTGCCGCAAGAAGGTCCTCCATTGTTCATGTGGCAGGGCTCAGGTTGCATTGCAGCAGGTGGTCAGTGGTTTGCTCTTCTCCGCACTCGCATGCCAAGGATTCCACTTTGTAGCCCCATTTCTTAAGATTGGCTCTGCATCTCGTGGTGCCAGAGCGCAGTCTGTTCAGCGCCTTCCAAGTCGCTCCAGTCTTCTGTGTGCCCAGGAGGGAGTCTCTCATTTGGTATCAGCCATTGATTGAAGTTCTGCCACTTTTGGACTCTCGCTTGCTGGGGTGTTCCAGCAAGTGTCTCTGTAGATCTTAGAAAACTATTTCTTGATTTAAGTCATTGACATGCTGGCTGATACCCAAACAGGGGATGAGCTGGAGATGTCTCTGCCTTGGTCCTTTCACTATTGGCTGCTACTTCCCGGCGGATGTCAGGTGGTGCAATACCGGCTAAGCAGTGTAATTTCTCCAGTGGTGTAGGGCGCAGACACCCTGTGATAATGCGGCATGTCTCATTAAGAGCCACATCCACTGTTTTAGTGTGGTGAGATGTGTTCCACACTGGGCATGCATACTCAGCAGCAGAGTAGCATAGCGCAAGGGCAGATGTCTTCACTGTGTCTGGTTGTGATCCTCAGGTTGTGCCAGTCAGCTTTCGTATGATATTGTTTCTAGCACCCACTTTTTGCTTGATGTTCAGGCAGTGCTTCTTGTAGGTCAGAGAACGGTCCAGAGTGACTCCCAGGTATTTGGGTGCGCTGCAATGCTCCAGTGGGATTCCTTCCCAGGTAATCCTCAGGGCTCGGGATGCTTGTCTGTTCTTAAGGTGAAAGGCACATGTGACAGATGGCCATCCAGACTCTGTTTAAAAGTCTCCAAAGGAGGAGCCTCCACCACCAGGGCAGAGAGTTCCACTGCTGAACGGCTTTCACAGTCAATATACCTCTCTTTTCTTTCTTTTTTTAATTTTTTTTATTTCAAAAAAATAATACAACAATTATATATATTGCAGAAATATACACAAACACATACACATACGTACACAACCCGCCACCCACAGTTACAGTTACCCCTCAACCCACGCCCAGTGCTACCCACCACCTTGGCTTCCATCACTGATCCCCGGCCGCAGGATTTATGCACATCTTGTTTACCCCTCTATACTTCTAATTCAATAAATTCCTCTTGTTTTTATTTCTTTAGCTCTCCCGTCAAGTATGCTAATATACCTCTGTTTTCTAGCCTTGTAGTTTGAAGCCATTGTTCCTCGTCCTAGTCTGCAGGGCAGGAGAAAACAAGCTTGCTCCCTCCTCCCTATGACTTCCTCTCACATATTTATACATGGCTATCATGCCTCCTCTCAGCCTTCTCTTCTTCAGGCTAAACATGCCCAGCTCTTTAAGCCACTCCTCATAGAGCTTGTTCTCCAGACTCTTGATCATTTTAGTCGCCTTCCTCTGGATACATTCCAGCTTGTCAATATCTCTCATCAATTGTGGTGCCCAATTGCACCTTATTAGCAGAAGTGTTGTTGTTTATTCGTTCAGTCACTTCCAATTCTTCATGACCTCATGGACCAGCCCACGCCAGAGCTCCCTATCGGCCGTCACCACCCCTAGCGCCTTCAAGGTCAAGCCAGTCGCTTCGAGGATACAATCCATCCATCTTGCCCTTGGTCAGCCCCTCTTTCTTTTTCCTTCCATTTTCCCCAGCATCACTGTCTTCTCCAAACTTTCCTGTCTTCTCATGATGTGGCCAAAGTACTTCAACTTTGCCTCTACTATCCTTCCCTCCAATGAGCAGTCAGGCATTATTTCCTGGAGTATGGATTGGTTGGATCTTCTCGCAGTCCAAGGCACTCTCAGAACTTTCCTTCAACACCACCGTTCAAAAGCATCTATCTTCCTTCACTCAGCCTTCCCTATGGTCCAGCTCTCAAATACGTAGGTTACTACGGGAAATACCATTGCTTTGACTATGTGGATCTTCATTGCAAGTGTGAATTAGCAGAAGTAATTGCTTGCATCTCCCCTGAGTTTCACAGGTTTTTTAAAAAACACAAAGTAGGCTTAAATCTACAAAATCTTGCGCCATTGCCTAGTTCTTTATTCTAGCTTAGAATCACAGACCCCAAGGGATATCCCAAATTATAGGGTGAATCCCTGGGGCAAAGGCATAGCAATGGGAACCCTACTATTCTCTGGAAGAGGGGAGGAAAGGGAACATTATATAACAATAAATAAAACTTTATTTATATACTGCTCTTTTACCCCGAGGGCACTCAAGGCGGCTTCCAAGTAACATCAGCAAAGCATACAGAGTAAACAACATAAACATAAAATTAAAACATAAGCATAACATTATCACATTAACACATATATTAAAAATAATCCTGCCTGTTCAAAGCAATTAAAAAGGGCCAGGCCGAGGCTAGTGCAAACTCAAAATATGAGAGGGCCGGGAATTCAGTACAGTGCTATAGCAGGCAACAGCAATAGCAGATACAGGTCTATGACTGCTCATTTCCAAGGCCTATTAGAGAAAGTAACCGGGGTAATAGGTAGGAAGAAAAAGGCCATATTCAACAATGTCTAGGGCAGGGCTAGAGCTGGACATTCTCAAAGGCCTGTTGAAACCACTTACGAAAGGAGAGGGATGGGGCCTGTCTTATTTCCCTTGGAAGAGCATTCCAGAGGCAGGGGGCCACCACTGAGAAGGCCCTCTCTCTCGTCCCTACCACCATACTTGTGACGGTGGTGGGAGCAAAAGGAGGGCCTCCCCGAAAGACCTTAGAGTTTGCACCGGTTCATAGAAGGAGATTAGGAACTTGCCTCCTACCTCAAGGTGAAGCAAAGAGCACAGTCATTGTGGTGTCACTCCCTTTGATGGTGACATTTGATGTAGTTTGCATCCCTCCTGTGACACCATTGAACTGATGCCTTCAACATACAGTAGAGTCTCACTTATCTAACATAAATGGACCAGCAGAACGTTGGATAAGCGAAAATGTTGGATAATGAAGGATTAAGGAAAAGCCTATTAAACGTCAAATTACGATATCATTTTACAAATTAAGCACCAAAACATCATGTTTTACAACAAATTGACAGAAAAAGCAGTTCAATACATGGTAATGTTGTCTAGTAATTACTGTATTTACGAATGTAGCACCAAAACATCACAATGTATTGAAACAGCTGTGGATCCAGGCAGAAGGCAGACTGTGTTGGATAATACAGAACATTGGATGAGCGAAGGTTGGATAAGCAAGAGTCTACTGTACCTTAGGCTGCTCTGTGGAACTTGCTCCATTTGAGAGAACAGCACTAATGCCTTGAGTTTCTATCCCATGCAACTTTACTGCACCAAACTCCCATTTTTAAAGACTACTTCAGGGTGCAGACCAAGTAATTGGGTTTAACCAAAGCAGGAACTCCCAGCATTCCTATCACTGGCCATCCAACAAGGAGTTGCAGTTCAACATCCATACAGTTCCTATCCTTCATTTATCAGAACAAGCACAGTTAGCTCTGGGTAAGGACCTCTAAGCAAAGCAGCTGTTCTGAGTAAATGTGGAGGATTCATCTACAAGTTAAAGATTCTTACTCAAAAGTAAGTTTGCATGATCTCTGTGTATATTTTCACTAAGTTCTTAGTAAACCAAAGTATACAAGAATGGAGTCCCTCTCTACTCAGTTACAGTTATTGTTAGTATTAATGTCTTAAATTATACCCTTCTCTTCTGCCAAAACTGGTGTTCAAAGTGAAACTAACGGGGATTTTTTTTGGTGCTAGTTCCCATATGTGTGTGTGTTTTTTAAATATCTCATTTGCACCAATTCCCACATAAATAGTTGAATGCTGTAGCAGAAAGCCAATGCTCTGCTCTTTAGTTACACTTTTTGTCTGTAGTTTCTCCAGTCCAGTGAAGCAATATTCTATACCTATAATGCCCTAAACATTTTGTGACCTGCTTATCTTTGTGACCGTATCTCCCTCTGCCGGGGAGGCCCTTCTCTCACTCCCACTTCCATCACAAACATGGTTCGTGGGGATGAGAGAGAGGGCCTTCTCGGTGGTGGGCCCCCCCGGATCTGGAATTCTCTCTCCAGGGAGATTAGATTAGTCCCCACCATGTCCACCTTCGGGAAAGACCTGAAGACTTGGATGTTCCAATGTGACTTCGAATAATGGGTTAACTACTGATTAAGTCTGCCTAACCCTAATCTTTTGGTTGGATCTCCAGCACTTTATTCCCAGCCCCGGCCCTACAGTTTGCATTGGCACAAGCCCTTGGCCTGCCCTATTAGTTTCAAATCTGTACATGCCCACTTTTCTTGGCTACTGGTTGTTTGATGTTTATGTTTTATGGTGTCTTACATTTTATTGGTTTTACTGTTTAATACATTTTACTGTTATGTTTTAATTGTTTTACTTGTAACCTTGTTTATATTAGACTTGATCCCCTTGTAAACAAACCCGAGTCCCTTTGGGGAGATGAAGGCAGGATATAAGAATAAAGTTATTATTATTTATTACTATTCTTTTCATACTAAACAGTAGCAGTTAATTCAGAAATGCCATCAGTGCGTACTGTGTGTCCCATCTTTTCCAGCTAAATATCAGGTTTTTTTGCTGCAATTTTTCAACAGTACATTTTCTGCCCAACTGCATGTAAAAACATAATAAAATAATAACAAAGTTTATTTGTGCCCCGCCACCATCTCCCCGAAGGGACTTGGGGCAGCTAACAAAGTATTCAAGGTGCCACACATAAAATAGAATTACATATCAAAACAATACACAATTTGACAGAATACAACATGAATACAACATCTCATCAATCTCAGTTTTTGGGAAGTTTGGCCAGGATGCCCTCCCCTTTAAAGATGATTGACATTGCTTTCTCCTTTCTTGCTTCTATTTCCCCATTCCCGTCCCCATGTCTTCTCCCTCCCTCCCTCCCTCCCTCCCTCCCTCGCAACCCAATCCACACCATGATACATTGAGAGGAAGAGTACAAGGTAAATGAAAGAAATTTTTCTGTATGTTGGTTCTTTTTATTGCTTTGCATGTTGAGAGAGGGCAGGTGATCGAGTTGTTGATGTGGACCTACATCTTTGCAGGATAGACCATTCTAAACGTATGGCCAAGCAGGAAGCTGCTCTTCTTAAGTGCATTTACCTCCATTAGGTCCATGCTGGTGGTTTTAACAGAAAGAGGAAAGCAAGAAATGGTCAGGAGTAATTTTAAATAGATGATGACTGTCCTTTTAATTATAGTCTTTTAATTCTAGTGCATCCCCCATTTGAATGGTTACAAATTCTGTGGGTCATTCAACAAGAAAGCAACCCCCATTTATGGGGCTTGGCAGAAAGGGTTTGCTTGCTGGCTGGAGGCCTTTGCACCTGCACGTAGCATAGGCCCTTTTCTTCTGGGGTCTAGAGGTCCATGTAAAGGGGTTATTATGTAAAGTCTTTTCTCCCTTGTGTAATGCCTGACTGACTTCAGCCCTTGTGTGAGTCCAGCTGTAGCCTGGCTGATTTATTCCTAATGAATATAAAGTCTGTGTGCAGCCTCCTCTTCTTCCCATTTGCCTGGAAAAGAGAGCCACTCAATTTAATTGGGCGTTCCCTCCAAGTAAGTGTACACAGAAAGTCAGCTTTAACATAGGAACCTTCTTCTTGAGGAGACCCATTAGGGTCTTGCTTTAAAAAGCCAAATCCTTTCCTAATACAGAACTTTTTTGAACTGTGATTTCTAATTACTTTTGTTAATTATTAGTATTTTGGTACATGGGAGGAAAGCATTGTTCAAAGTAGAGTTTTGGGTGTAATATGTAAAAGTTGAAAGCCATAGTAGAGATCATCTGACAGAAGAGAAGTCAGGTTTGTGAACACCAACAATTAAGGAAGCTGTGAGATAAATGCTTGTAAGGCTTCAGCTGGTTGGGTAGAATTAATATTTAGGAAGCAGGCTCAAGATTTATAGCAGAGATGGATATTTCCAGGGCCTCTTTAATTTCCAAACACTCAATTCTGGTTGGCAGGGGGAGGCAAGGTATAGATTATGGCTATAAAGACTTGTGTCTACATTGTATACCCTCCAGCATTTCACAGATGAGAATGGGAACCAAATAGCATCAGTATAATCGAAGTACCAAAAGCTGCTTAAGGAGAAAGAATAGAAAAGCTAGAAGGTACAGCAGTTTGCTTATGCTTGAACCTACTGAGAAGCAAAGATTTTCTCCCTTCCTCCCTGAGTTAGGGTGCATCCAGACACGCCCTTTATCATGGTAACTCCCACAATAAAGAAGGGGCTATCCAGATGATGTCCTGGACAAACCCAAATTAATTCACCACAAACCAAGAAAATCCTGGTTTGTAGCGAATTAATTAGATAGTGGATTTATTCCACACCTTGGAAAGTGCAGGATAAACCCACTATTTCTGGTGTCTGGACTGCAGTCCAGACACCATTCCCACAGTGTTCCTGACTAAATTAGTCCAGAAAACTCTGGGAACACCCACTCCCACAGCCCCCAAACCCCTTTGAAAAGTAAGGAAAACTTACCTGGCCTCCAGTAGACTGTAGCCGGAGCTCTCCTGAAATGTAGAAATGACGCGCCAGGAGTGTGTGTGGGGGGGGGGGGGGGGATTGCTCCCCATCCCCCTGTTCTCCTGATGCATCATTTCTACATGCTGGGAGAACTCTGGCTACAGTCTACTGGAGGCCAAGTAAGTTTTCCTACTTTTCAAAAGGGTTTGGGGGCTGTGATGAAGGGTGGTAGGGCCTCCAGATGTTCTTGCTGGCCAGTCCCACGAGAGCATCTGGACACCCACCTCAGAAAGCAAGCGCTTTCTGGGGTGTGTGTAAACAGGATGGTTTTTAAACGTGGGGTGTGTTTTTAAACGTGGATGGTTCTGGGATAAAGGCCTGTGTGGAACCACCCTTCGTTGAGTGCAAATTACTTTGCACTTTGAATTTCGATTGCAACAACTGAAGTGACTTGAAAACAAAGGGTGATAGAAGTAGAACACTCTGAGAAACCAAGATGACAAAGGATTCATTAGATCTGTCCTTTTCAAATTGGCGCTGTTAAAAGATAGAATCATAGAGTTGGAAGAGACCTCATAGGCCATCCAGTCCAACCCGCTGACAAGAAGCAGGAAAATTGCATTCAAAACACCCCAGACAGATGGCCATCCAGCCTCTGTTTAAAATCCTCTAAAGAAGGAGCCTCCACCAGATATGTCATTGCATGTTTTCTTTTTCTTTGTAGTTGCCATGGATGACTGGGACTGCAGTAATCAACTTGTCCAGAAGCTGGATTTTTCCAGCTGTGGAGAGGACACAGAGTTAGAAGAGGATAACAGCATGCATGAGGAAGAAGTGAGACATGTCACTCCACAGAAAAACTGGGCATCTCAGAGCTGGCGGTCGAACTGTCCAGTCCCTGTAACTCCGCAACGGCAACAAGAAGATTTCTCTCAGGATCTCCCAAAGTCTTGGGCAACTCCTGTGAGGAAAGGCAAGGAATCTCGGAGAAAGAACATCACACCTTTGGAGAACTACCCTGACACTCCTTTGCACTATGTCACATGGCAAAAGCTGCAGCTTTGTGATACCCCCAACACCCCAAAGGTAAAGTGGCAGGAGCAGTAGTACTGGATGAAGTCCTACATATACCCTACCAAACCCAGACACACTGAAATTGAAGGCACTCAAATTGGTTTCCACTCAGTTCATTTCATGGCTCTGTTGTAAATAGGATTGATGTTGGCTGTAACCCAAAATATTTGTGCTTTACTTTTATGTGTCAAGTATCCAAAGTATGCTCTGAAGCACACTCCAAACCTTTAGCTTCAGTATAGGGTGTGGATAATTGTATGGTGCCAAATGAACTTACTGTTTTTAATGTGACTTTTTCCAAATCTTTGTAGTTATTTCGTTCTCCTGAACCTATTTGTCTGCCTTGTTCTTGCCATGAACCTTAGAGGTAGAAATGTCTGGTTCCCCAAGAAAGCGTTCGCCTTTGTTTAATTGTTGTAAGTAGAGTCATCTGTACCATTCAGGGCACCAAAGTAGTTGCTTCAAGCAGCAAATCTAGAGTTAAATGAAAGGAAGTGGGGAGAGGTCCATGTGTTTTTGGATTTTTGCCCCACATACCAAAAATAACTTGGCTGGCTCTTGATATTATGGATCTTGACTTGAGTTGTTCATGGGGAGTGGTGGTGCTGGCTACCTTGAGCAGCAAAGTGTCAGGTAAAAGTAAAATTAAATAGTGTGTCCAGGCTGAGAGCTGCAGGAAGAATCAAAGCCTACCTTGAGATTAAGCTGACAAATTGATTGCATCTTCTTACCCTTCATTTTTCTGACTGTACCTAAAGAAAGTATGACTTCGTACGGAATTTATATTACAAGGCTGTTGTCTTCCTCCAGCTTTTGACACAGAAAACCCAATGTTGTTATATTCTGGTTATGGAAGAAGAGAGGGATCTCTTTCCTTCCCTAGTTTACAAGATCTTTAGCCTTCTCTGCCAAAGAGCCCTGGTGCTTCACCAAACTAGACTTCCCAGTATTCCATAGCATTGAGCCATGGCAGTTAAAATAATGCCAAATTGCATTAATTCTACAGTGTAGATGAATCTGTTGGCAGGGCAGTTTCTGTCAGGAAGGGGAAGGCAGCTATCTCAAATGGGAAGATGCTGGATGATAAAGAGTGGTGGAAAGATGTTGAAGGACATGGTCTATCAAGCACTCCCCCAGCTATTGCTTTCAGGTGGAAGGTACTGCCTCATCACCAGTGTAGAGATATGATCCAACTGCCATCTTTACCACATCAAATGAGAGCGGGGTGCCATCTTGTCCTTTGATTTGGATAGAAAGGTTTTGAGGATCTTTACTTGCATTCTGGGCCAATCTGTGTAATTGCAGAGTGGGAAACAGCCGCTTTTATTTTTTACTACAGCTCTTGGATTCCCCCCAGCCAATTTTGGTTAACAGAGCACTTGGACTTGTAGTTCTCCAAAATATGTTTTCTAGTAAGGTGATCTGAAGTTACTCCTCTATACTTTCACTTTTCCTAGTATACTATCGAATAGCAGATGAATTTCTGAGTTTCCTATTGAGCACAGGGGTACAATATGTATTTTCCCCCTAACTATTAAAACTGTCAAAGCACCGTTGTAGGAACAGCTTTTCTTCAAAGCAGCTGCTGTCACTTTCTTGTCCCAGGCTGGATGTAGAGTCTCTGCAGGCTCTAAAGACACAATCCTGATTGATTCTTTAATTGTGTTTTTTGCTCTTTTAAAATCTGAAATGGAACAATTTAGAAAATCCCCTTCATCTTCCTGCTTGTTAAGATGGATGTCTGGGAGGAATTCACCGGCATCTGTAGCTCCATATTGAGCTCTGTTGCCCAGAATATCCTGCAGTGACAGTAGCATAGTAAAGTGCAAACCTTTTTTTGACTTTCTCTAATTTTAAAAATTTCAGTGGCTGACAAAGATTCTTCTTGACAGGAAGATGAGGCTGGCAATTGACTTTTGACGTTCCAACAGCAATTTGTATTGATTGGTCCACCTTGTGACAGAAACAAGTTCAGTTGGAAGGTCTTGGCATGACAAAGGTCCCACATTCAAATTCTGACCACACAGCAACTGATGGGAAAACAGGGCCAGCCATGCTCTTGAGCAAGGGGAGGGACTTGTGAAGCCTTTCCAGGGTTAACCACCCCTGAGTCCCCTTGGGGAGATAGGTGCGCATTATAAATAAAGTTGTAGTTGTTTGATACACAGCAAGATTAGTACACAGCAAACAAGATCATTATGCTGGCTTTTATATTCAATTACATGTCTGACACTTCCCAAGTATCTAGGAGTGTGTGATGTATTGATGAATAATGTGTGCAAATTAGTTATTTATTTATTAGACTGCAAGTCCAATCACTATGGGCCCTAGCTAGCAGGGCCCATAGTGAAAAATATTGGCAGTCCAACAGTATCTGGAAGGCAAGCACCTTGGAGGTGAGGGGCTCTGGGGCCATCAGTGTTTTGCTTAACTCTTAATTTATTGGCTTCATTCCTTGTCATAATCTTCCCAGAAGCATTTACTTGGCTGACTCCATCCTTTTGGAACAGGCGCACAAGGCCTGAGGGACAAAGTCAATCAGACAGATATTTATATTATAAATTACGTGTATAATATATTAGCATTTTGGATTCTGGCATACATGCTAAAACACATGATGGATCTTGGGAACACAAGTATTAATTTGAAAAAGAAGGCAAACTGCTTCCTGCTGCATTAAAGCCATTATATATCCCTTAGGTTGAGGTAAGGTTAGTTGGTCTTAATGGCATAACATTAAAAACACCTCAATTCTGATGTTTTCTTTTTCCTTCCCCACTGTTTTTGTGTAGTATAATCTTTAGACAGTCCCTGCCTCAAATTTATAGTCTAGTTTTGTGAATCTATAAATGATAAATTATTATTGGAACTTTTCTTGTTAATGAGTCAAATATATCATTGTTTAAAACAAATATTTGTTGTCATAAAAGTATTTTTATTTGCAACTCAAACAGTTGTATAAATAATGGTTTTGCACATTCTTTGATTTTCTATCTGGTTTTTTTTCTAGAGTCTCCTGAGCAAGACAGCTTTCCCTTCACCGGTGGGAAAATTCTCCCCCAAAGGGATAAGAAATTTGCGGTTCAATTCATGTACAGATTCTGAGGAGCCTCCCTCCAATTCTCTGGTTAATATTAATCCTTTTACACCTGATTCATATAGACAGATGGTTTTCCATCCCAGTGGGAAGAGGAAAACTAGAGGAGAGTTGTGAGTATTTTCTAACTTAAGATATTTTATCTAACTTAGAATGCAAAATGGAACGGCAGAATCACTATTCAGGAGTCAAACTTCAAATAAAGAGGAGGATGTATTCCTCAAGATGACCATGTTTTTCATCCCACAATAGGATTTTCTCAGAGATGCGTATCTCAGTAACCAGACCTGCATATTCAGCTTGTGCTTTCCACGCAGTGACTAATCCAAAGCACAACATACTAAATGCAAGATACAGAACAAGTGAAAATTGAATTTTGTGGCAATCAGGTGTCTTTCACAACTTGGGCAAAAATAATGTTTTACCTTACATGGCACCTTCCAAAACTATTCTCCACACCGTTCTTGGATTTCTTGAGAGTTTAATGGGTTTTTTTCACTGAGAAGTTTAGTAATGGAGACCATTCTCATTTTAAATTATTGCTACTCAGCTGGATATGGTACATTTCTTCATTTTTGCCTGGCAACAGCTATTTTATTGTGTCTGACTCAAGTTTCATGGCTGAGTGAGAATTTCAGTTGAATTTGAATTTAGTTTTTCCCATTCCTAGTACAATGCTCTAATCCCTACTCTGTGATGGAAGTAAAGATGTCTCTAGTTCTGGGTTTCTGGTATCAAGCAGGGATTGGACTAGAGGGTACTCTTCTTCAATTTTTCACAGTCCCTTGTGGAGAGGTTCTCCAGAAGCTTTTCAAATCATCATTTTATCACAAAGAGAGCTCCTTTGTTTTGACTACAAGAAAATCTAGTGAGTGCTGAATTGATAAATGAAGGCAGCTTTTACCATGTTGGTTGGGAATTATGGGAATTCTGACTTACAATGATTCTAAAGTGGACCTATCCTGGGGATTTCCTATCCTGAGGATTTCCGGGAGTATGTGACTCACCCAAAGTTGCAGTGGATTTCAATGGCTGTGTGAGGAATTGAACTCTGGTCTCTAGAGCAACAGTCCATATAGCACAAACCACATCAACAAACCATGCCCTTTAAAATTGTAGTCATTTTGGGTCTCCTGCAGGAAAGATAAAGCAGGGTATAAATATAATAATAGTAATAATAACTCAATAGATCTTCAGAAATACCTCCCCCCCCCCAAAGAATGGAATGAGTGGTTACAAAGGCAACAGTGTTATGAAGAACTTTTCAATGATTCTTTTCAATAAAAGAAGCATAGGTTCTTTTATTGCAATTTTCCAATAAGAGAAGGGGTATCAGAACTTTTACACTTTTACACTTTTACACTTATACACAAAGAATGACATTGGACACATATACAGATTCTACATTGAATTCACAAACCACCTATAGTTATATTGGCTAACAAACAAAGGCTAACATCACCATTTCTCCTACTGTCTCATGGAGGTCAGATTGCTTCCCTGCAGCCTTCCAATGCACAGTTCCAAAACTTCCAAAACTCCAAAGCTTTTCAAAAACGCAGTCATTGCAACTTGAGAAGGAGGCAGCGACCAGACTTGAGAAAAGGAGGCAAGTGTCCAGAATATCACCTTATCATAGCAGATCTGACACTCCCAAGGTACACCATCTCTCTCAATAGAGCATGGCGGATGAACAGCACAGCTGCCACAATTTTTGGATTGTAATAAGGTCTCTTACATAGCAATATTTCTTGCTGATGTTGTTCCAAAGTTGTAAATGCATGATAGATAATTTTCCAAGCCTGAAACATTCTGGCTTCATCTCTTCCTGGACAGAAGTTGGTAAATGTAAGCCTTGTATTGACTTCCTTCTTAACATAAGAAACCTTGTAAACATTTCCTTAATTTATTTATTTATTTATTTACATCACTTATATCCCACCCATATCAGCCTGCAGGCGACTCAGGGCGGTCTACATATCGGCGCAATTCGATGCCATCAATACAATACAAAAGCAAAAACAGTTAAGTGCAATTATACAAAAAAGACAGTGCAATGACAATTTAAAAAGAGCTATATCCTCTCATTCCAATCCTCGTCCATTTCATCGTCTTGGCCGTTCCTGGGTCATTCTCCATCTCAAGCTTGACTATCTATTCCGGGGTTTTGAATGCCTGCTCGAAGAGCCAGGTTTTCACTCTCTTAATTTAAAGAACCATTGTCCCTGATAATGTAAACACACTGTTTTCCCCCAAAAGTTCAATAGTGAATCATTGCCACAGTTAATCAATGTAAGCAACTTTTATTTACAGTTCCTGAGTGTAGTTTTTTCCAGGCCTCAATATTTTAGAATTATGTCTTCAGCCAAGTTAGGCCCCATTTATACACCTTTCATACAATTCCATTCAAACCAAAAAATGTTGTACTTCTTCTGTTTTATGAGTTTTATATTTATTTATGCAATGCTTTTGACACAAAAATAAATAAAATTCAAACCATACACCATATTTTTATCCATGACCACAGTAGCTTAAAAACAAAAGAATATATGCTATAAAAATTCACACTTATTTAGAAGAGCTTTGGGGAGCTATATTTTGTTTCAAATCTATCATATTTTTTTCATCTGCGTATATAAAGGAGAAAGGGGGCTTGCTTTTGAATAGAGCCTTTATAGATCTGTTTGAAATTGTGTGAATATTTTCTTCCAAGTCAGCTTAGAGACTTGGATTTACAACGAGAATGGATTTCCTTTGCTGAAATCACATACTACTATATTCCTTGTCTCCCCAGATATCAAGAATTTGCACATTGAGGAGGAATCTGAATTGATCCCAAACTAGAATATGAATCACCCAAGTTGAAGGCTGTAGCCTCTGTGGTCCTAGACTGAATTTTCTTGTGGTTTCTGTTCACTTTACATGCAGACATGTCTGTATAAATATTTTATAAAGTTTGAGTAGTTCCTGAAGCTCGTGCTTAAATATTTAAATGGTGAAATTGAAGGCTTGTTGACTATCTGTGAATGCTAGGAAGCCATTCATGAGATTCATATTATTGTTTTAGGGATGATCCCAGCCAAAAAGAGAGTCCATTGGAGCTTGGCTTGCCAGCCAAGGTGAGTAGTGTGTTTGCCCAGGTGCATCAGTACCTATAGTTCTATATGTAAAAGAGAAAGCAGCTTGGTAACCTACAGCAGTGGGCAAAGAATGTATTACAAGAACATAATCATAAGGGCTTACTGCCTTCTTTAATTTTAAAATGTCAGATAAAACCAATAAGTATATTTTAAGAAAGCATAGTCAAATAAAGGACATGGAAATGAAACGGGCACAATGAAATAACTCATTGAAATATTACAGCATTACTTACAAGGCTTCAAGCTGCAGAACCAAAACACATTTGCAGCCTTATTGAAATACAGAGCATGGAAACTATTTCTCTGTGGCTATGATTGTGGGTGGATTCATTGATATTCACTGCTTTGCATCAAAGAGGGCAACAAATTTCCACCCTTCTTCATACCATTCTGGAATCTCAATGTACAACTACCCCACCTTTCCTTCAATTAATCTTTGAAGGTGGATAACATCTGACTATCTTGGTGCTGTTGAATTATAATGCCCATTACTCCAGCACACCCAATAGTGCAGAATTATGGGAGGTGAAGTCCCAAGAATATCTGGTAGATCAGTCTTTTAGAAGACCTCTCCTTGGTCTATGGCAAGTTAATGATGAGTAGGAGGAAAGACATTTGGCTGCTGTTATTGGTTATTGCTTGATATTTACTTTCCCTTGTGTTTATGCATTATCTGATTAAACTACCTGCTATGCAGGACTACACAACTAAAGCACTCTCTGATAAGAAGTCACTAAAAGTGGAGAGTCCACGAGTCTCCAAGGCAGTTTATTCCACAGTTGAACAGCACTTACCATTTCAAAAATCATCCTAATGTTTAGGTGGAATCTCTGTTTGTAATTTGAATCTTTTGGTTCATATACTAGCCCAGGAATGAGCAAACTTTGGCCTCCCAGGTGTTTTGGACTTCAACTCCCACAATTCCTAACAGCCTACTGGCTGTTAGGAATTGTGGGAGTTGAAGTCCAAAACACCTGAGGGGCCAAAGTTTGCCAATTCCTGTACTAGCCTGAACATTGAACCAATTGAACTCTGGAGCAGCAGAACACAAATGAGTTCTGTCTTCTACATAAGTGAATCTTAACCTTAGGTCTTCCTAATGTCTTGGGCTTCAACTTCTAGGAGTCTCAACCAGTATGACCAGTAATTCTGTCTGTTGAATTCCAAATATACCTGACAGATTAAACGCTGAGAACTATTCTTCTACATGGCATCCCTTCAGCTATTGAAAGATGCCCATCATATCACCTCTCAGTCTTCTCCAAGTCAAACACATCCTGTTTCCCAAGTCATTCCTCATAAGTCTTGGTTTCAAGATCTCATGTACTCCAGATATAGTTGTTTAGTTTGGCACATTCATTCAGGTTCATAACAATAATAGCTTCAAAATAACAAAGGAATATGGACAGGAATGATGATACGACAAAGCAACATGGATTTGAAATACTTGCATTGCAACAGGGAATGCATTCCTGGAAGGGCATCGCTCCAGAATGCGAGTGTCCTTGTGTATTTTTGCCCTGTAAACCTGAGTGTGTAGAAAGCTGTTGTAACATATTATGAAGGGGCATTGTAAGACAACAGAAAAGCTAGTCTATTCAAAACTTTTCTATTGAGTGGAGCTTTCTGTATGGAGGGATTTATGTCTCTGTGAGGCCAAGCACACACATATAGAAGGATCTAGTGGGATTAGATAATCGTTCTTATTTTTTCTGCACATGTTGATGGGCTCTAAATGCTTTTGTCTTACCATTATCACCGCCAACTGTCTTGGCTTTGTTGTTGTTGAGGCTACCAGGGGAGAAATTAAGCAATCACAAGCTTCTAATTGAAAATCTAATGAAGACAAAGCTCATTGCATGGGCTGGGGGTGAGATGGGGGGGGGGGGCGGGGTAGAGAAGCAGAGAACCTAACTGAATGTTAGATAAATATCTCCCGCAGTGTTGCCTGTCCCTATGTTCTGCTGCACAAATCTCTCATCTGGCTCCCTTTTCCTTGAGTCAGTGCTAAGCACAATTACTACTGTTTACAAAATGGATTTTGGTCTCCCAGTAGGAATCCTCAAATGATAAAGCGGCATTGCCCTCTTCTGGTGAGAACCCAAACTGATTCTACAGCATAAAACCTTTCTAGGAATGGACAGAATGGACAGAAACTAAGCAGTCTTAGGGTGCATCTGCACTGTAGAATTAATAGTTTGACACCACTTCAACTGCCATGGCCCAATGCAATGGAATAATGGGATTTGTAGTTTGGTGAAGTGCCAGCACTCTGGTAGGGAAGACTAAATATCTTGTAAAGCAGCGTTTCTCAACCTGGTGGTTGGGACCCCTGGGAGGGTTGCGAGGGGGTGTCAGAGAGGTCACCAAAGACCATCTGAAAACACAGTATTTTCTGTTAGTCATGGGGGTTCTTTGTGGGAAGTTTGGTCAACTTCTGTTGTTTGTGAGATTCAGAATGCTCTTTGGTTGTAGGTGAACTATAAATCCCATCAACTACAACTCCCAAATGTCAAGGTCTATTTCCCTCAAACTCCACCAGTGTTCACATTTGGGCATATTTAGTATTGGGCATATTTAGTATGCCAAGTTTGGTCAGGATCCATCATTGTTTGAGTCCACAGTGCTCTCTGGATGTATTGCAACTTCAAAAACTCTAGGTCAATGTCCACCAAACCCTTCCAGTATTTTGTGTTGGTCATGGGAGTTCTGTATGCCGAGTTTGGTTCAATTCCATTGTTGGTGGAGTTCAGAATGCTCTTTGATTGCAGGTGGACAATAAACCCTAGTAACTACAACTCCCAAATGACAAAATCAATCCTCCTTCTCCAACGGCATCAGTATTTAAATTTGGGTGTGTGTATTGGGTATTTTTGCCAGATTTGGTTCAGTGAATGAAAATACATCCTGCACATCAGATATTTACATTATAATTCAGAACAGAAGCAAAATTACAGTTATGAAGTAGCGATTAAAATAATGTTATGGTTGGGGGTCACCACCACATGAGGAACTGTATTAAGGGGTCACAGCATTAAGAAGGTTGAGAAATACTGTTGTAAAGTAACAGTTCCCAAGATGCCATAGCATAGAGTCATGGCAGTTAAAGTGGTGTCAAACTGCATTAATTTTACAGTGTAGATGCGCCCTGGTTCTACTTATATTGCTATCTTAGTCTATATCTCTGTTCTTTAAAATATTAATGTTTCATCAATAAGTCATGGAGAACACTAGTTCTTTTCCAGCAAAGCAAACTCTGGTGGTTCATTCCATCTGTATATATTTTAAAAAATACTGGACATAACCACAGAGGAACCTAAATGAATATTTTGAATTATGGTAGTCTCTTGGAGAGACAATTTGTCTTTAATTTACATGTTTGTTTGTTTGTTTGTTTTTCTTATCCTCCTATAGAGATTCCTTTTGCGTGAAAGCAACATGGTTTCTCGTTACAAGAAGGAATTCCTGGAGCTGGAGAAAATTGGTGTGGGAGAATTTGGTTCAGTATACAAGTGCATCAAAAGGCTGGATGGGTGCGTTTATGCCATCAAGCGCTCAAAGAGGCCCCTTGCTGGATCCTCAGATGAGTAAGTGAAACCCACCCTTGTGTATGTCTTCCACATGGATGACCATGCAGGTATGTGTATGGGCAACCATGACTATGTCCTTCTAATGTGCATTTAAAGGCAATAATTGCCTTTGTACCTGTCATATTAGTTTGCACATCCTCTAAATAGGTTTTCTTTCTGGTATGTAGAATAGTAGTCAAAAGACTAAAGGTAAGTAGAGAAAATGGTTGGGAGATTTTCCCCCTGTTCCACAATACTAGAAATAGAGACATCCAGTGAAGATACATTCAAAGAGAAAAATAAAAAAGCTTATTCTTTACATCGAGTCTTTTTACTCTACACAGTTGTAGCACTCTGATTCAAGTTTAACTTCTATGGTTTTGTCTTACAGAACCCAGGAATTGGCAGTTAATGGAAAAATACTTCTGGTCAGTTGTAAGGCAGATGAGGGTATAGGGTGGCAACCTGTGTTGGTGGGGTCACACTCCTCCTGAAGACACAGGTCCACAGTCTGGAGGCCCAGGTGTCGGTGGTGGTCAAGAGGGCTTTCACACAATTAAAACTTGTGCACCAGCTGCAACTGTACATTGACAAGCTGGACTTGGCCATGGTGGTCCATGCCTTGGTTACATCCCATTTAGACTACTGTAATGATCTCTATGCAGGACTGCCCTTGAAGAGTGTTCAGAAACTTCAAGTAGTTCAGAGATCTGCAGCCAGGTTATGGATAGGTGCTGGACCCAGAGAACATACCACCCCCCTGCTAAATCACCTGCACTGGCTGCCAATATGTTTCCAGGCCCAAATCAAGGTGCTGGTTTTGACCTTTAAAACTCTAAATGGTTCAGGTCCTACTTATCTATCTGACCGCATCTCTTCATACCGAACTGCCTGAACATTAAGATCTTCCGGTAAGGCCCTTCTCTTGCTGCTGCCACCATCGCAAATGCAGTTGGTCACTTCCTCCTATTGTTGTTGTTGTTCATTCATTCAGTTGTCTCCGACTCTTCGTGACCTCATGGACTAGCCCATGCCAGAGCTCCCTGTCGGCCGTCACCACCCCCAGCTCCTTCAAGGTCAGTCCAGTCACTTCAAGAATGCCATCCATCCATCTTGCCCTTTGTCGGCCCCTCTTCCTTTTACCTTCCACTTTCCCCAGCATAATTGTCTTCTCTAGGCTTTGCTGTCTCCTCATGATGTGGCCAAAGTACTTCAACTTTGTCTCTAGTATCCTTCCCTCCAATGAGCAGTCGGGCTTTATTTCCTGGAGGATGGACTGGTTGGATCTTCTCGCAGTCCAAGGCACTCTCAGAACTTTCCTCCAACACCACAGTTCAAAAGCATCTATCTTCCTTCGCTCAGCCTTCCCTAAGGTCCAGCTCTCACATCCGTAGGTTACTACAGGGAATACCATGGCTTTGACTATGCGGATCTTTGTTGCCAGTGTGATGTCTCTACTCTTTACTATTTTATCGAGATTGGACATTGCTCTCCTCCCAAGAAGTAAGCGTCTTCTGACTTCCTGGCCACAGTCTGCATCTGGAGTAATCACTGCACCTAATTTCCCGGACCCTCTAGAAATTTTGAGTTTGCACTAGCCTTGGCCCAGCCTTTTTAAATCTCCTTGAACAGGCAGGATTATTTTAAATATATGTACTATTGTGATTTTTTTTATGCTTATATTGTCTTGTTGTTTTTTTTAATGTTGTTCACTCTGTATGTCTTGATTGTGTTACTTGGAAACCGCTCTAAGTCCCCTCAGGGATATAGAGCGGTATATAAATAAAGTTTTGCTGTTGTTTGTTGTTGGTGGTGATGACAAGAGAGAGGGTCTTCTCAGTGGCCACTCCAACCCTTTGGAACTCCCTCCCTCCCTGACATCTTTTTAAAAGCAGCTAAAGACCTTCCTGTTCTCACAAGCTATTAATAAAGATACTATGATAATACCAAGGTTTTTTTTTAAAAAAGTGTTTTTAAAATAAATTTGAACTGTATTCTCAGTTTCCTTCTGATACAATAAATAAATAAATGAAGAAACTTAGTTGGAATGACAGGAAGGCTAACATTCAGTGAGTCGTGCTAAGTTTACCACCTGTATCAATGAATTTCCCCACAATAACTGTATTTGATAAATATTTTTATATATGTTTATTTTTGGCCCCTATAAATTGTCTTCTATTCAAATCCCTAAAAGCGTAATGGTATCACAGTTTGAATGGGTGCCTTTGTTTTATCTTTCTTTCTTTGCAGGCAAATGGCTTTGCGAGAAGTCTATGCCCATGCAGTGCTTGGCCATCACCCTCACGTGGTGCGTTACTATTCAGCTTGGGCAGAAGATGACCACATGATTATTCAGAATGAACACTGCAATGGTAAGAAGGTGTTCCACCTTTCCAATATTTGCTCAGCTTTGGAATACAGTAGCCCTTTCATAATTGCAGGGGATAAATTCCCTGGCTAGACCATGGTTCTTTAAAAGCAAAGAATATAATCCAATACCATTAAATTATCTCCCTTGCAGTCCCTGCATACCATAATAGTTGCCTCAGAGGACACAGAGATTCCTAAATATCTATAGGAATTTGCTAGAACATCCCATGCAACTATATGGTAACTTCTGGGGAAGAATAACAAAGAATTGCCTGGAGGACCTAGTAGATTTCCTCTGCAGGAACAGATAAGTTTTTCTTTTTCATGTCAGGAGTGACTTGAGAAACTGCAAGTCACTTCTGTGTGAGATAATTGGCCGTCTGCAAGGACATTGCCCAGGGAACCCCCAAATGTTTTACCATCCTGTGGGAGGCTGCTCTCATGTCCCCGCATGAGAAGTTGGAGCTGACAGATGGGAGCTCCCCGGATTCGAACCGCTGACCTTTCAGTCAGCAGTCCTGCCGGCACAAGGGTTGAGCCACTGGGGGCTCCTAAATAACAGGTAAGTGAACCCCTGGATATAGGCTATATGATTTTAGGAATATTTGTGTGGAAATGTATGCAGCTTTACTTAGTTAATAATATATACTGAATGTCAATGCGGAGTGAAACTGCAGTACAGTACAATTATGGAGTTTGTTTCCAAAATATACCAAAAATTGAAAATGAGTTATAGGTGGCAGTACATTATTGGCTAGGAGTAGAATATCATGTTCAGGTCAAAACTATCAAAATGGAACAAATCACTTCAGTACAGTGCTTAAAAATGGCATTTTATACCAAAATAATACCGTACATATCCTCAGCACAGTTTTTATTAATTATTCTTGTAAAATCTTGTTCTGATGGATTTTGGGAAACAAGCTCAACCATTGGTTGAAAGATCAGAGCTTGGAAAAATAACTTGCTGCTAGATTATAAGTTGTAAGTTGTTCAGCCTCCATACCTGAATGCTTATGTCAGTCCTTAACAATGGAAAACAAAATCAAAACAAAATAGACCTAGTACACTCTGAGAACCAGAACTGGCTATGACTCCCTGTTAAGTACCGTAAATGTGCTACACCAGTGCTTTTCAATCTTTGGTCCTCCAGATATGCATTTCAGCTCCCAAGAGTCCCAGCCAGCCTAGTAAGTGGTTGAATTTCAGCAGCTGAAGTTACAAGTATCATCAGGACCAACGTTTGAGAACTACTATGCTACTTGATGGGTCTGGAACACCATGTACAGAATACACTCTTGAGACATGAAACCTGATATATTTTCAAGAAACGTTACAATTTCCCCTGTCCCGTCTCCTGCTCCACTTAAGTACACTTGGATAGCATGATATTACCATTTAAGTGTTGTATGTAGATATCCTAAGCATAAAAATGAATAGATTGCTTCAGATAGAAAGGATACTGCAGGACACCGAGGCCCTGGTAGTATGTTAATACTTGGGGTTTTTTGCAGGTGGTAGCCTTCAAGATGTGCTTTTGGAGAACTTGAAGACTGCCGATTATTTCAAAGAATCTGAGCTGAAGGAGATCTTGCTACAAGTCTCCATGGGGCTGAAATATATTCACTCTTCTGGTCTAGTGCACATGGACATCAAGCCCAGTAAGCCCCTCTATTCTATAATGCACTGGGTGTCAAATAGTTGTGGTTGGCACTTGAGGAAAAGTGAGCTGAATACTAGGCATGGGCAATCCATGGTTCTAAATGGTACTAAAGTTCTGTCAGTGAAAACTAGGGGGCGCTGGTGCTTTGCTTCTACAGTGTTGCTAAAGTTCTGGTGGTGAAAATTTCAGAACTCTAACAAACTTTCAAAATTTTATTATTTCATTATTGGCGATTCTTATGACAGAACCAATTAGGAGCTGCCATTTAGAACAAAATTTTGAAAGTTTTGTTAAGAATTCTGAATTTTTCACCACCAGAACTTTAGCAACACTTTAGAAGCAAAGCACCAGCACCCTAGTTTTCACCATCAGAACCTTAGTTTTGTAAATACTTTAGAATCATTTAGAACCATGGATTGCTCATGTCTACTGAATACAGTGGGCTGGGTGTGTGTGTGTGTGTGTGTCATTATCCTGATACAGAACCCTGAAAAGCTTCAGCTGTGTTGCATTGACTGAAATTGCGTTGACACAGCATCGCTACATTGCTAAACTCAATTAGATCTGCAGAACTATTGCTTCGAGGCAATAAGGAAACATAAGCCTCTCTTCTAATTGAGCCATTTTGCTGTTCTTTTGTGTCTTCAAGTTGTTTCTGCCTGATGGAGACATTAAGGCGAACCTCTCATAGTGTGTTATTTGCAAGATTTGAACAGAGATAGTTTGCTAGTAGGAACAAATCTTATATTTAGACCATTGATTCAGTGGTTCAATACTTTAAACACTCAATTGACAGAAGTTTCCCAAGCCTTCAGACTCACTGGGACTCTATCTACAAAGGCTGGAGACTGAAACTGGGACATTCTCTATACAAAATAAGTTTCGTGTAGATAATAATTCCCCCCTACAATGCAATGGAGCTGTTTGTCTGCATTTCTTTTCAGAAGCCTTAAAGGACAATCTGGACAGCCATCTAGCTTTGGATTCTCTACACTAAGAGAATAATTAGACTAAAGCATGGGAAGGTTAAGTTGAAAACTCTCAGAAGAAGAGAATTCAGCAAATTGCAGCCCAAAAGCACACACTGAGCTTGACTAGAAGGTCTAAAAATAGTGCTTTCAGCCTTATAGTTATGTGAAGCCTAACAAAATAGGACCTATAATATTTTGGTCAGCAGAACGCTCTTTTATGTTTCTTTGACTTTGGGGCCATGATAGTTAGAGCCATAAAATCAGCCAGAGCTCTAGCACAAAGCAAATTCATTGCCTACATGATAGGATCTTCTACAGTCCCCTATTTTCCCTTAGAGAAAGAGCTGTCAACCATTACCTAGCAATGTGTAGATAGATGCTTGTGAAATGCAAACAGTATTGCTTGTTGCAGATATAATTCATCTCTGTGAACATTGCAAGCTTCACTATTCTTGTTTCTTATTGTTTTTAGGCAATATCTTTATTTGTCACAAGCTGATTGGACTTGCGGGTGTGGAGGAGAGTGACAGTGAAGATGATTCCTTTGCCTCTTCTAGCGTGGTATATAAAATTGGTTCGTAGCTTAACTTTGTTTATGCCTCTGGAGAGTATGGCACAAAGTGGTTTCCAGTTCATGCTTTCTGAATTTCCCTTGAACTAAGGTCACCCTCCTTGCTTCTTATATCTCTTTCCTCCCACCTGTAGAACTTACTTGCTCCAAAGTCTGTATGTGGGGCCTGTTCAACAGATAGCTATGAAAATCGGGTTAGTGAAGGCATGGGCAAACTTCGGCCCTCCAAGTTTTCTGGACTATTCCAAAACCCCTGGAAGGCCGAAGTTTGCCCATGACTGGTTTAGTGGGAGGTTGCATCATGTTGTGATGGTTCTGTACAAAATTGATTCAGTAAAAATCAGGATGTGGTCTTATTTCCATATCCTACAGTGGTGGTTCTCAACCTGTGGGTCCCCAGGTATTTTGGCCTACAACTACCAGAAATCCCAGCCAGTTTACCAGATGTTAGGATTCCTGGGAGTTGAAGGCCAAAACATCTGGGAATCCACAGGTTGAGAACCACTGCCCTACAGCATAAGAACTTCAGGAGGGTCTAGTTCAGGCATCCTCAAACTCCAATCCTCCAGCTGTTTAGGCTTCCAGCTCCCAGAAAATGTAGCCAGCTTGTTCAATGGTCAGGAATTCTGGGAGTTGGAGACCCAAACAGCTGGTAGGATGGAGTTTCAGGATGTCTGGTCTAGTTATATGAGACCAGAGGCCTCTCTAGTCCAGCATACTGCAGCAGAGCAGCCAACCTCATTTCTAAGGGAAGCCCACCAGCAGTATATTTGCACAAAATTCTTTGACCATGTTTTCCAGTAACTAGGACCTAGAACCACTATGTCTAATGCTGGAGGTAATATAGGGCCTAATCTCTGTCCACTTCTGTGTTAGGATCCAGGCCTCCTAAGGTTTACCTTTTCATTTGCAAAACACTGTATACATACATGCATCTTGAACATTCTGGATATTGGTAACTTCATCACTGTGGTTATATAATATTTTATATATGGCCAACTGGTTACTTCTGGTGAAAAACCTACCCATTCTTAACTAGTCATTTAAGCAAAGGTTTTTCCATTTGTATGGCTTCCCTAATTGTCTGATTGATATGCACACATCATGTCAGTTAATGCAATTAAATATTTTTGTTTTATTAAATCTTTCATCTTGCATTTATTACTATTAGGGAATTCTGGCTACTCTGACTAGTTGAATTTGCACTTACATTTGTAAACTAACTCATTAGTTTCTCTCTGTTAGGAGACCTTGGACATGTGACATCCATAGCTACCCCACAAGTGGAGGAAGGAGACTGCCAGTTCTTGGCCAATGAAATCTTGCAAGAGGTAAGAACATATGAGCCCTCCTGGATCAAACTGTTGCATAGTGCAGCATCATGATTCCTACAGAGACTTACCAAGTTCCTGTTGATTCAGTGGATCTGTTGTGGTTTAGGCTGCCCGTTGGATATAGACTGCTGTATTCTAAACTTGGGTCTTTAATTATAAAAACATTTATGTCCTTGAAAAACTGTTGTTACGTCTTGTGGTGTAAAACCTCTAGTTTTCCTTATTCTTCTACAGCAATACTGCTATCTGCCCAAGGCAGACATCTTTGCCCTTGCTTTAACCGTTGCTCAAGCGGCTGGTTGTGGAACGTTACCTGCCAATGGTACCATGTGGCACCACATCCGCAAAGGCAACCTTCCAGCAATCCCACAGCAGCTGTCACGTGGCTTTATTGAACTGCTCAAGGTGAGCTTCCTTTTTGGGGAATATGAAAATAGCATTGGTTATTTCAGCAGTAGTATGAAACATACTTCTTTCTCACTCCTATTTGTTTTGATCTCAGCTTATGATTCATCCTGACCCAGTTATGAGGCCATCAGCCACTGCACTAACCAAGCACCCTATCCTTCGGCCTTCTATTGGGAAAGCTGACCAACTTCAGAAGCAGCTAAATGTGGAGAGGTTCAAAACTGCTATGCTGGAAAGGTAAAAGTCCTTCAACAAGGTCAAGCCAAGATGCTATGGTGTCTGATAGGAGCTGGCATATCATTGGCCAAAGAAGAAATGTTTCTTCTTTATGACACACTACATGGTCTGACTTTTTTCCATTTTAATTTGCTACCTTAAAATTCTACTAGTGTAGTGAGGGGAAAATACAAAAATAATTGGGGGGGGGGGGTTGTTGGGGTTTCCACTTTATGGTGATCCTAAAGTAAACCTATCACAAGGTTTCCTGGGGATGAGGGTGTGTAACTTGTCCAGGGTCAAGTCACACACTACAACTAGTGTTAGCTGCATGGATAATCCTATAACTTCTGATTTAACATGTATTGTTCACCTTCCGGCTGCTTCAGGAAATGATAGGATAGACGTGTCCATTGTCCTATTTCTTTGGAAAGCAAGGATACTTCCTGCAATCATACTTGTGCACACATTCAACCTTCCTTTGTCTTGGCCCTATGAGATTCCTTCAGTTCTGATTTCCTAAACTGGAATGCCTGTTGGAAACACCATCAGTGAGAAATATTCATTCCAATTCTTTGATGTCCTTGGGATGATTTTGTTCTTTATTATTTCTTCTCCTTCACAGGGAACTGAGGGCAGCCCGTCTAGCTCAGACCTTCAAAAAGGAGCAGGCCATGAAAAGAGACCTGTCTTTGGAATGTGCCAGGCCTCAAGAAACTGGAACCAATTCAAAGCTTAAGAACAACAAGAAACGGCTAGTGGGAGGGAAAAATGCCCGATCATTTAGCTTTACTGCCACTGGCTACTGAGGACTGAATAATTCCGGGTTCTCGGGTTACAGAAGCATATCCCAGAGAAAAATCATCACAATTGGCTTTCACTTTTTGCACCATGACTACAAGAATGATGGTGCTGAATCTTAACCTGCAACCAGTCCTATTTCAAGATTATTATTTCATTTCATACCCAGTCTCTCCCTCATTTTTTCTCCACTGGACGTGACAATCATAGCTGGTTTATGGTGAGGCCATTAAAACCATGAGTGCAGGAGGCATAGGGATGTAATTGCAGCTTCTCAAGCCAAAACATCTCTTAAACATCATGGGTGTATTGTCTCCTCAAGATTCTCAGAAGAATATGTAACTTTATTTCCTTTCTCTCACTGTTATATTTGACTATTTTAAGATCCTTTTGTGTTAATTGCTTTAAAAAAGATTAGAAATAGTTGTGTGCTGAACGAGAATATTTCTTAAGCAGCTGACTTCTTCTCACACTTGTGGATGAAGTTATGTCATCATGCTAAGTTTTAAGTCTCTTAAGAACCAGGGAAATTCACTAGAAAAGTGGTGGTGAACTTCAACTCTCATTGACCCTAGCTGGCATAGTCTATGTTGAACAATCATGGAGGTTGCAGTCCTAAAATATCTGGAAGGATATAGCGATTCAGTCTTCCAAACAAAAGCAAAATATATTTAAGGTTAACAGTTGTCAGCAATGAGATCTTTTTTGAAATAAACAAGTGCATCTTTTGACAATAGATGTATCCTGATTTGGAAACAGGTTGGCTCTCTCTTTTGTTTCCAACAGCAGGTAAGATAAATCTTGGCTGGGAGGGTGAAGGGCTTTTTTCTTAAACGGTGACATATGAATGACTGACATAACTAATGGATAAAGGCTTGTAAGTGTCTGGAGTGGGGTAGATTTTTAAAACACACTGGAATGGAGGTAAAAATGCTTTTTGGAACCCCTTTCTTTTCAGGGGATGACATTGTGTAAGATGTTCTTAATTAAAATAAAGTAAGCCTTGTGCCCCTGTTAGAGTGTTAGCTTTTGATGTTGTTGCAGCAACGAAAACAACAGTTCTATGGATTCTTCTATTCGTAAGACTTGAGTATTGGAATAGTAATTTTAGTGGTGGTGTCCAACATTTCCTTCACTATATGACCTCCTCAAACTTTCCTGGACAAAATTTAGTCTTAGCTGCTGGGCAACGTAATTTTTTTAGCTGTTGTTTTTTATGTTTTTCTAAAGAAAAGCACATGATACTTTGAATAAAATCGTTTACTTTGTTTATGTAAGTGTATGTGTGGGGGAATTTCTTTGAGACTCTACAAGGTGACTCTAGCCCTATCTCTTGAGACATTTGAGACGGGTTTTATAGATGTATGTTCTTTAATCCTCTTAGCTTCTGAGGCCCCTTCTACACACATAAAGGTAAATGTTTCCCCTTGACATTAAGTCTAGTCGTGTCAGACTCTGGGGTGGTGGTGCACATCTCTATTTCCAAGCTGAAGAGCTGGCGTTGTCCATAGACACCTCCAAGGTCATGTGGCCGGCATGACTGCATGGAGCGCCGTTATCTTCCCGCCAAAGCAGTATCTATTGATCAAACAGCTAGGTTAGCAGAAACTGGGGCTAACAGTGAGAGCTCACCCTGCTCCCTGGATTCAAACAGCTGACCTTTAGATCAGCAAGTTCAGCAGCTCAGCGGTTTAACCCACTGCACAACCAGGGGCTGTATAAACCCCACACGTTCTTCTTTGAACTGGAATATGGGGCCGTGTGAACTGAGATAACCCAGTTCAAAACAGATATTGTGGGATTTTCTGCCTTGATATTCTGCAGCCAGCGTCAGCATCTTGGGTACCCATCATGCACAGATGTTCCGATACTTACTTACTTACCTAGGCGATCCCTAGTTGACTGAGTAGGATAGTCTTCCAGGATCAGTGTTCTGGTGGGTCCGTAGGTGACTGTGGAGCCCTATTCTTGATCTGCATCTTCTCCCACAGTGAGGGCATTGGTTTCCAGGTGGAAGGCGGTCTCAGTCGGGGTTGGCTTGACGCGCCTTCCTCTTGGCACGTTTCTCTCTTTCGCCCTCCATTCATGCCTCTTCAAATTCTGCAGCACTGCTGGTCACAGCTGACCTCCAGCTGGAGCACTCAAGGGCCAGGGCTTCCCAGTTCTCAGTGTCAGATGTTCTGATAGCCAAGCAAAGCACATGTTCTTGTGAAATTCTGATTATGCTTGAAATTTCTCTTTGAGTGATACGGCAATTGTCCTGAATCAATCTGTCAACCTTTTGCTTGCATTCTCTAATGAATCTCCTTTGGGGTGACACCTTCTGTTGTCAAGAATTCAATGACTGCACGTTGCTTAAGTCGCATTGACCGACCGTCTGCGCAGGGTTCCATACTTTGCACTTTAACAACACAACCATTCGATGCTAAGGCTTCCCACCAAAATGGAACTATAGAGGAGAGTCTACTGAACAAGCCAATACCTGCCGCATACCAGTACTGCCATCTGTTGAGGAGTTATGAAGGTGGAAACATTGTTTTTCATTCAACCCTTGTATATGTGGTTTTACGCATGCATTGTAATGTAATTTTTGTTTTTTGCCTTTTAAAGTCTCTTCTGCTGTGTTTTTCAGTGTTTTTATGAGTGATGGTCATTTGTTGGCCTGATAGGTGTATTGTGTCCAAATTTGGTGTCAATTCATCCAGTGGTTTTTGAACATTACATTTTTATTTATATAGATAAATAGAATGGTAGCTATTTACTCATTTGACCTATATAATTACCACGCAGTAAGGGGCAGGGGAATGTATTGGATTATTTTATAATCTTACAGGAAGTTATTTATTTAATTTATTTACAACTTTTATATTCCGCCCTTCTCACCCCGCAGGGGACTCAGGGCAGATCACAGTGTACACATATATGGCAAACATTCAATGCCAATTTTTGACATACAAACATATACAGACATACACAGAGGCTATTTAACTTTTTCTGGCTGCCAGGGGAGCTGTCGCTTTCATCGTCCATCTGCGACGCTGATGAAGCACTTCTGCATTCCCCGCATGCTTCCCTGCTGTAATCTTCTTTATGGCCTCATAAATCAGTTAATTTAGCCTCCTCACACTTTAAGGTGGTACCTAATTTTCCTACTTGACAGATGCAACTGTCTTTCGGGTTGCAAAGGTCGACAACAGGCTACACACAATTGGTTGGAAACCCACTCCAACCCAGGCTGGTTTCAAACTTTTGGTCAGAGTGATCTTAATGCAGCTGACACTCAGCCAGCTGCGCCACAATCCCGGTGCATGGTAATAAGCTTGATGTTAAGATATAACCACAGTTACACAGATTATGCCATTAAAATAAAAAGCATTGGATCCAATACACGTGTACACACTTTCAAGACAGTATTCTTACCCTGGATTTTTCCTGTGCTCCTTTTGAGGAAGAGTGGCCATGACGTGAGACCTGGAATACATAAAACAGGGTGTTAACTATTACCTGCCACAAATACAGTTCTGTCATACAGGCTTTGAACTGCTTTTCTAAGACTCTAATATGCAAAAGAGAGAAGAAAAGTGGACATGCAATATATCTAGACCAGGCCTGCGCCAACTTGGGCCCTCCAGGTGTTTTGGACTTCAACTCCCACAATTCCTAACAGCAGGTAGGTTGTTATGAATTGTGTGAGTTGAAGTCCAAAACATGCTTCCTGGGCCCGGTCCTGTTCAACATCTTTATTAATGACTTAGATGAAGGGCTAGAAGGCATGATCATCGAGTTTGCAGACGACACCAAATTGGGAGGGATAGCCAATACTCCAGAGGACAGGAGCAGAATTCAAAACGATCTTGACAGATTAGAGAGATGGGCCAAAACTAACAAAATGAAGTTCAACAGTGACAAATGCAAGATACTCCACTTTGGCAGGAAAAACGAAATGCAAAGATACAGAATGGGGGACGCCTGGCTCGAGAGCAGTACGTGTGAAAAAATCTTGGAGTCCTCGTGGACAACAAGTTAAACATGAGCCAACAATGTGATGTGGCGGCAAAAAAGCCAATGGGATTTTGGCCTGCATCAATAGGAGCATAGTGTCTAGATCTAGGGAAGTAATGCTACCCCTCTATTCTGCCTTGGTTAGACCACATCTGGAATATTGTGTCCAATTCTGGGCACCACAATTCAAGAGAGATATTGACAAGCTGGAATGTGTCCAGAGGAGGGCGACTAAAATGATCAAGGGTCTGGAGAACAAGCCCTATGAGGAGCGGCTTAAGGTGCTGGGCATGTTTAGCCTGAATAAGAGAAGGCTGAGAGGAGATATGATAGCCATGTATAAATATGTGAGAGAAGCCACAGGGAGGAGGGAGCAAGCTTGTTTTCTGCTTCCTTGGAGACTAGGACAGAACAATGGCTTCAAACTACAAGAGAGGAGATTCCATCTGAACACGAGGAAGAACTTCCTGACTGTGAGAGCCGTTCAGCAGTGGAACTCTCTGCCCCGGAGTGTGGTGGAGGCTCCTTCTTTGGAAGCTTTTAAACAGAGGCTGGATGGCCATCTGTCAGGGGTGATTTGAATGCAATATTCCTGCTTCTTGGTGATATCGAGCTCTTTTAGGGGGCCTCTCCAGGGAGGAGAGCCCAAGGACCGCATCAATGAGTCCTGGATACCTTGGTGAGCTTTCTGGAAGCCAATCCAAGAGCGCAGAAATATTTAAAAGAATTAATAAGCTCATCAGAGGCGGAAGAAGTCCAGCGATCAAGGTTTATTTGCGATTCAGCTGAAAAGGATGCATTACAGGAATCATTCCACTGTAAGCATGCAGCACAAGAATTTACAGGCACTTTTATACAGTGAAGAACAAAGAAAAGCAGTTTGAAAATCCCGCCCGCCCCTCTGTCAGCCGGCTTCCTGCTGATTGGCTGAGGCTGGAACAGCTGGGAGGAGGTAATCCCGCCCTCCTCCGTCAGGAGCCAATGGGAGCGTTTCTTCGCCTGGGGAGGGCCAATGGGCGCCCTCTTCTCGCTTCCCGGGCTCTGGCCAATCAGGAGCGAGGAGGCGTGACAGCCGTGGTCAATGGGGGAGAGATGATGGGATTTGGGATTTCCTGCCCGCTGGAATGCGGGCCATTGTCCCAGGTGATGTTTGTCAAACAAAGGCTTTCCTGCCCTTAATGGGTCTGGCAAGTGATATGAATAGCTGGGTCGAAATCGGACCGCCCGGAGGATCAACAATTTCTGAGTGAATCAATCAGTCTTTTATTCCGAGGCTCTGCTGACCCTGCCCTCCTTCGTTGGCCTTGCTCCGAAGACGAAATTGGGGGGCCAGCAGCATTGTCCATGCAAAATGAGTCAATCAAGGGTGATTTAGGGGAAAAAGGCTTGGGCTTTTCCCCCAGGCAGTTCCTGGTCACGCTGGTCTTCTTTGTGGGGCAAGGGGACAAAGAGGAAAAGATACAGTGGAGTTCATAGGGGTACATATTTCATATTCATAAGGTACAGGCATCACTAATATACAGGCATTTCATACACCACAACCCACCACCCATCCCAATCCCCATCCATAGGAAAGTATTTTATTTTTATTTCATTTCATAAAAAGGTAAAGAAAGTCTAGAAATCCCAAAAGCCTAGACGGAGGGGTTTCTGGAGGCAGGGGCCAGCCTATGGCTTAGGCTGGCCATCAGGAGATCAGTTCATTATTGAAACAGGAGCTGGAGCTAAGGGGGAGCTACGTTCCGCTGTCCTGTCCTTGGTGGAACTAGCGCTCCCAACCGGGGATCGGGCCTTCCCTGCCCGGTCCCCACTTCCAAGGCTTCCTCTTGGGCAGTCGGGGTTGATTGCAGGCGGCGAGAGCCATGCTGGAGCGAGCAGCGACGAAGGGAGTGAAGCAAGCGGCCAAAGCCGGCGAATTTTGACAATCAGCTGGTGGCTCGGCCGAATTTTAATGATTAAACAAAAACAATTATTTCACGAGTGCAGGAGTCCAAAATGAGAAAACCAAGATAGCAGTTAGTCTTAGAATTTAGTGTGGAAAAATATAAAATTTGAACGGGCCCGATCCGCCATGTTGTTGTTTTGGCGGATAAGGGGGGCCAATAGGAAAATCTCCGTATCCACGATTTGAACTAACGCAAATTCGGAGGCCTGGGGAGGCCAGGAAGGCGTCCCCAGTGAGCTCACGGTTCCCCGGAGCTCAGAAAAAGGTTTATTGTGAGTTAGAAAAGT